ACCTCTGCCACTCTGGTTACCTCGTCCCTGATGAGTACGTCCTTGACCTGTCTGGGCAGGCGGCCTAAACGACCCTGTACTACTAGCAGCAACTCCGCTCTGTTGGGGCTGGCCCCCTGATACCACTGAGAGATCCGCTAGCTGGCATAGACGGATATGAAGTATAACCTCCCTGATCCTGAGAATATCCACTCTGAAAATAAGGATCCTGGGAATAGTGATACTGTCCCGGAGCATAAGGAGCAGCATCACCCTGATAGTGATAAGCACCACCACGACCACCTTGGCCATAACTGCCTGAATTAAAGTTCTGTTGAGTCGGTGCTGATGTTGGCATAACAGGCTGCTGGGGCCTCTGCTGATTCTGGGGACAATACATAGCTCTATGTCCTGTCTGACCACATGTAAAGCATGCACCACTGCTTCTCCTACATTCCCCATGATGTCGGAAATTACAACGGCGACATAACGGAGGACCCGAACTACCAGTACCACCAAAGCCTCTCTGACCAGAAAATCTAGGTCCATTACCAAACCTACCACCTCCTCTCTCTCGGACCTGTGGCACTAAATCCACCACTGGAAGAACTCGAACTCATTCCACTTTTCTTGAAATTCTGCGTCTGACGAGGTCCTGGAATGGAAACACCTTTACCTTTCTCATTTTTCTTCTGACCATTACCCTTATCCTCTTCATCCTCACTGTCCGGAAGATTATCAGAGTCTTCCATCCTGACCAGAATCTCAAAATACTCATGATAATCGGCACAGGGAAGTGCATTGGCAAACGTTCTGTACTTCTTCTTAGATCCTAGCTTGAAACGACGAAGCATTTCTGCTTGATTACCCGCTAAATCAGAATCATAACGGGATAAATCAGTAAACTTCCTGTAGTACTCATGTGCAGACATATTCCTCTGCTTCAGACTGGTGAATTCCTGTTTCTTGCGATCTATATATTCCGGAGGAACAAATCTCTTCATAAAATTTTCCTTAAATACCTCCCATTCGGCTGCCCTTTCAGGTGCCATGTGCCTCGACTGATTTATCCACCACGCAGCTGGCTCACGGCCCAAAAACCAGGTGGTGGTCTCCACCCATCTATTAGCTGGCAGGTTTCCCTGACTTTGCATCACTTGAAAAGGTCTGCTCAATTCGATCCAACCACTTTTCTGCCCCTTCATAACCTTCATTTCCCTCAAAAGTTTCCAGTTTCAGATTATACATCGTCTCTACGGGCGTTCTCTGAGGAGGACGGATATTAGCCTGAAAAGCTTGAGCCATTGCTGCCCCTAACTGAGTTATATCGGGGAAATTAGGCTCAGCAGCACGGCGAGGATCTCTACGAGGCGGCATAATTCTGACAGAAAACATAACAAAATCAATAGAAGAACTCATTAGTTATACAGGACTGCAACCTATGCTCTGATACCAAACTGACACACCCTAACCGAGAAGACTAGGACGTGCTGGCCGTCACGTGAGTGTGACGTAACCATAACGCAAGCGGAAACGATTTAATAATAAAATACGAGTCAACAAAAACCACTAATTGCAGTTATTTACAACCGAGCATTCTATGTGCATAAGAGTGTACTAAACACACATAAACAGAGCATAAGCATCTAGGTGCAGTCAAGTAGGAACATAACTAATTTACAACACCCTCGGGTGAATCCTACATTTATTTAGTCTGTCAGAACGCCGAAGCAGTCTCGTAGGCCACCAACGCCTCAACTATCAACTAGAACCTGGAGGGGCGAAAAACACAGAAAACGTGAGTGGGCGAAAATAAAGCTTTTCCAAAACATTTCATAAATCCACATTTATAACCCCTTTTTGGAAAACCTGTATACTTTCCCAGAAAAAATAGTATATAGCATATATATCTCAACTGTCTCAATCATCAATCTTATAACAGATTCAATAAAGAATGTACCATGCCAATTTCAACAGTGTAGTATGAATGCATTAACATAATATATAATCAGGTAAAAGAAATAATCAATCGGAGGCCCTCTAATAGCCCTGAACGATTGAACCTAGAGCTCAACATCTATCAATCTCACTCTCTGCCGGAGTCACTCCGCGTGACCTGTCCGGCCTTCTGCACATAAGTCGGAACCACCTAATGTAGTCTGAACGACTCATGGTAATATTCGCTCTAGTGCTTCTCTCATCAATCATCTGTATACAATAACCTAAGGTCACCCACCAGTCATAATCTCACTAACACTCTACGACTGGCCCGTCGTACCCACTCCGCGTGGACTGTACGACCAGCATCTACTTGGATCCAAGGCGAGCGTGCGATGCGGTGAATACTATAAGCACTAAACCATGGTGCAGGATATGAGCTCAATATATCATCATCCTCAACATAACAGTAATTAAATACTTACCTGTGCGTCCACAGCACCATCATACATATATGCATCATACGACAGTTCATAATATCCATAACATTCTATATGCATGGCAATCACACATCATATTTCATTTCATTTCAATATATTTTTCATTTAAATTTGATTTCTGGGGAAATCGAGTATATAGGTATATATATATAGAAAGCAATGCCCACTCACTGGTATGTCGCCGGGTCGTAACCCCCTTGACGCCCCTGGATGTGCTCGTCCTCGTTATAAGTTCCACCTAGAAGTGAAATAACTTAAAACAATCATTTAACGCACAATTAACGCACCTAAACCAAACTAGGTAAAAAATTCTTCATACGATGCTCAAATTGGGTATATGAATATACCACAGTGACCTACACAACCTCAGGATCATCCCCAAATTTTTAAAATAATTTTTGGAGTCCTCACGCGCCCCCACGCGCCTGACGTGGCACGGACCTACGCGCGGCCCACGCGCAGCCACGTGCCAGGCACACTGACGGCTACAGTGAACGGCGTTAGGAATATTCCCGGAATATTCCGTTAAAAACTAACGGTTTCCGTTAAAGTTAACTAACGGCGTCGGAATATTCCGTCAAACTTGACGGAAGATTCCCTGTCTTCTCCGGCGAGTCGCCGGTCGCCGGCGGCTGTTCGCCGGTTTCTGGAAAATTTTCAAATCCACTATTTCTCCTTCGTTTTTCAACCAATTTCTTCGCATTTTATACCAAAATGAAGCATTTCACATGTACTATCACGTTGGAAGGGTTTTTAAGGCCTAAAAAACAACAAGATCAAACCTTTCAAAATTCTTCAATTTCGGCCAAACTCGAACCCGACGATCCCGACGTCCATTTTGTTCAAACGAGGCACTCCGAGCCTCCTTGGAACTTCCTAAGACTCGTGGTGATCTTTGTTTAACCTAAAACACAACCAAAATTAAGTTCGTGAACAGTGCCATTACACGGGGTGTTTTAAAACTAGGGTTCTCGAAATAGAACTTACCTAAAACTGGTATTCCCGTGCTCGTGAGGTCCTAAGGAGTGTCGTGGTGATCTTAGATCGGACGTTGGTGTAGGATTGTGATTGTTCTTGGTGTTTGTCCGAGAGCTTGAGAGAGTTCGAGAGTAAGAGAGAGAGAGTGATACTGAAATGAAGAAAGAGAGAGAGAGAGTGAAGGGAGAGAGAGAGACATCCCACGGGTTTTGGGGAGGGATTTAGGGGGTAGGACCCCACCCTAAGTCCAAACACAAATTAAATTAACACATACTAATATAATTCTAACCCTAGTTTAGGATCTTAGTGTAAAACAAATACCAAATTTACGCACCTTAATCCCGTTTAAGGGCGTTTTAGTAATTTCACGTCCTCGGTATTTAGTAACTCTGGGACGGGCTGTGACAGATAATATCCCGATATTTCCATCGAAATTTCTATGTTTTTTTACAACCAATATTTCCAATATCATCGATATTTTATACCTTGCTCCTGACCCATTGACGACCACCATGTTTGTCAAGATCAAGGTATAAAATATCGATGATATCGGAAATATCGGTAGTCCAAAAACACGGAAATTTCGATGGAAATATCGGGATATTATCGATATCGATAAAAATTGAATAAAAACCACGAAAATTGTAAGAAAAACTTGGAAATTTTTATTGAAACTTTGCAGGATGTTTATTTAGTCAATTATCTATTAGTTTATCACAAAAAATTGGAAGGAAATGCATTGCATGATAGATATAACTGATTTAAGTTGATTATATAGCAAGCTGACAAACATTGTGAGTGTAGAAAATATGTAGTAATTAATGAAAGAAGTTTAAACACACCATAATCATTTATATATAATGAATTAGTACAATATTTTACATTTTATACATTGTATGGTAAGATACATGAGTGACTTAGCAAGGTCTAAAATATTGATGATATCGGAAATATCGGTAGTCCAAAAACATATCGGTAGTCCAAAAACACGGAAATATCAATGAAAATATCGAGATATTATGAATATTTTAGATCATGATCAAGATGTACATTCCTTCAATATAACACACGCACATTTAGTAGATACTTTACAAGAGAAAAAATATTAAAAGGGTAAAGACCACAGAGGGAATATAAAGTTTAACGGTCTAATCATTGGCAGCATGCTCAATACATTTCGAAAAATGTACACACCCAAGATTTGCACTTCTGGTTGTGAGAGGGAAAATAGAGTTAAATCGCCGAGTTATTTCTAGCCATTCTTCATCGTATTGAGGGATGGTTGGTTTGGGAGTGAGGTACTTAAAAAAAAAGGCACCCATGAAAAAATCTGTGAGGATTTTAAGTGTTTGGTAAACTAAAAAAAAAGAGCTTATTTTGGAAGCTGCTGTGAGAATAAGCTGAAATCAAAGAAAAAGATGAAGCTGTTATTTGTAGCTTTAGAAAACTGGTTTTTTTTTCAAAGCACACGGAGCTACAGTGCTCCTTTAATGAAAATACCCACTATCAGACTGCTTTTTTTTTCCAAAAGCATTTTTACAAAAAAGTTTACCAAACACTCTACTAATTTATTTCATAGCCGCTTATTCTTACAGCAATTTTTTTTCAAAGCATAGTAATACCAAACCAGCCCTGAATCTCATAAGGGCCAGGCTCCGATTCAAATTCAATAACCTAAAATGCCAGAAAATGTCACACGTAGAACCCATTAGCTACCAGCAATGACTGCGGGGAACATCCTACACAGTACTTTCAGAATCTCATCAAATACCTGAAGAAATTTGCGTCCTGGTAGGCACTTATCAAGGGCAAGAAAGTTTGTCACTGAACCATCTTCCCCATGTTGAACACGAGCAGCAAATTTGCAGTGTAAATGAGCTGAAAACCAATAAGGTGGTTTCAGTTCTAGCAATTGAGCAGCTGGTTTACTTCCAAGACTTCTTTCTTGAACCTAATGACATTTTAAACGAGATAAGTGGTTCGAAAACATACCAATCAGAGCTTATTAACTCATTTTTCCGTTCTTGCAATTACCTCCTGCTTAAAATCCGGTTTTTCCCGAACAAGTTCCTTCCAGTCCCCACAATCAGTGATGCCAACAGGCCAATCATGTGAAAGAAAAATATCGATTGGTTCCTCAACTTGCATGAGTTTGTGGAAATCATACTCACGAACATGATACACCGACCTGATAGTATGACCATTACAAGGAGGCCTCTCAAAGTGTCCCGCTCAAGAGGAAAAAAAAATGAACCGCCTTCAAGCAGTTAACACCATATGTCAAAATAGCACATAGTACATACCATAATAGCAAAACATAAACAGCTATTGTTTTACCAACAAAAGATAAGCAATGAAGTAAACACCTGTAATGGTATACAAAACTAAAGCAAACTAACCTTTAAGAAAATCGGGCTGCTTGTAAATTCCAGAGAGTCCACCAATTCGAAGATTTCCAAACTTGACTACACCAGCAGACCCCAAGAAGTATATATTAGGTGCTGCCCATCCTCCATAGTACCTATACAAACAGCAAAAACAAGTAAAAAACCCCCAACAATCATTCATTCAAAGCGAAAAAACCGACACGAAAAACAATTGGAAGGGAATGCTATAGATTGTAGTTAAAGAAGGGACTCACAGTTCCCATAAGTAATTAGAAGCCTCGTGATTGCCGCCGATGAATATGGTCGGGTACGGAGCCACTGCCTCACCGGAATAGTATTTCCAGAATGTGTTCATGCTCCGGAATTTACGAGGCACGTTTAAGGTCGCCATGCATACAACCTTCTACAGCAATCTTCATTCCGATTCCGAAGATGCTGGAATGGGAGTCGGCAACAGGAATGGAGGGAAACTCGAACACTACAGTGGCGGTTTAAAGCAGAAGATCGTATTGTTTCGCCGATTTCTTTTATTTTCGTCTTTCCCGGCTCAAAAAATTCAATTAAAAGTTGCTCTTAAAATTTTGAAGGTGTATATATTTTGTTTAATAAAGTTCTAATTAGATTAGGAACATGATCCTGTAATCTTAGGAAATCCATATAGAATTCTATCGTATTTTATTTTTTACATAAGTATCATGTTTGTAATACTTATCAAGTAAGAATTTTACGTTTTCTACTACTATAAATTTCTTGAGATAATACATATCTCATAATTAAATCAGACTCTCTTGCATCACCCCTCTATTTCTCCCACTATATTCACCTATATTGGTCAGTTAAACATGCCCTACAACATTTAAATATTTATTAAATTGATAACACGATGAGCATGAAATCCGTAATTATGATTATATATGTAAGCCACATTTGCACCACATCGATTAAATCCCTTATCAATTTATGGATATTTAGATGTTCAAATATCTAAAAGGCGTAAATTAATAATATTTCAAAACTTTAGGAACAATGTGAAAAATATGAAACCTCACCGCACATTTTAAAAGTACCTCAAGTATCGAAGGTGTAAAATGTATTCATCCCTTAAACATACATAGTGACACAATAATTCATAAAACCCGTTTTAATTGACTTACATTTTTCACATTCGTAAAAAAGATCTTATAAAATTTCAACAATCTGTCTTTTCACAAAAAACGGTAAACTTACTCGTGATTTTTACATCGATTTTGCAACGTTTTACATAAAACATCGTAATACCAAGCTTCTTTAAAATAAAAAAATTAAAAAAAATTATTTCTTGTCATATTTTGCACCTTGATAATATTGGAGGAGGATTCTATACCTTCCTAATATCTCTACCCTTTCATGCCCTCTTATTTGAACAGTCACGGTTAAACCACATCAACATCTTATATTAATTTTTTTATAGAGATAATAAGATAAAAAACAATGTGTGAGATGAGAGGATGGAAATGGATGAGAATATAAGGGTAGAGAATCCTCCTCCGATAATACTTCTATTAATTTGTAAAAAAATATGTTAAGCTGTCTTCCGTGCACTGAAAAGTTAAAAACTACTGTTTTGAAGCAAACTAAAAAGATATCACTCTCAACTCTAATGAAAGATTTTTCTTCCCAGTCTTATGCAAGTTTAGGTAGGCCTGTATTTCTTGGTTTCAATAGTACTCCTTACGAGCGTTGTTTTTAAAGTAGTGGTAGGTTCGAGTTTTCTTGTTTTGTCCTTTAGGTTACAACTTTATATACTCAAACGTTAAATCTCATATTTGAAAACACACTTTAAAAGAGAAATATTATAATAAAAGCGTAAATTTGAGTTTTAACAACTTAATTACGTGCACACTTGTTTGATAAGGATAACAAACAAATGAGGCGCGACACATAAATTGATAAAAAGACGGAGAGGTGGGACACATGTGTCGTTTTAAGGCAACAAGGTTAGGACAATTATTGGACTAACAAAGTTGGAACATGAAACCTCCATTAGTCTAAGTTTCCAAAGATTTCAAGCAATCTCTCCTCATCTCCTCATCAAAAATGGCTCTCCTTCACCCTTTAGTCTCACACATCTTCCCCTCTTCCACTCCCAAACCATCAACACCAAAACTAAAATCAAACCCTACACCTCTTCAACCATCCACATTAGTACTAACAAATAATAAGAGTCGTGATAACATCTCGGGTGTAGGTAAGTTTCTCTCCAGAGCCGTAGTTGCATCTCCGCTTGATCATGACGATGATTTGAAGGAAGATGAACAAGAGGATCACAAGGTTTTGGTGACTCCTTCCAAAGAAGAAGAGCATGGAGAAGAAAGCGTCGCAACCGGATACAATTGGACGGAAGAATGGTACCCTCTTTACCTCACCCAGGACCTGCCTGAGGATGCACCTTTAGGCCTTACCGTCTTCAATAAGCAGCTCGTCTTGTATCGTGATGGCTCGGGCGAGCTTCGCTGTTACGAAGATCGTTGCCCACATAGGTAACAATTATTCTTATCCATCTCATGATTCATCACCTTTTTTTAATTCACGAAATCTAAAGTAGTTATGTATGTAGTATAGCTTAATTTGTTTTGTATCCTCTGTTTTTCCCCTGTTTAGGTCCTCTGTTCTTCCCCTGTTTTTGTTTACTCTGCTTTGTTGCCTCTTGAATACAAACTTCATTACTAACAAAAAGTGAAGCTCTTGGTGTTTATTTTCTTAGGCTGGCAAAACTATCCGAAGGCCATTTGATCGACGGAAGGCTAGAGTGTTTGTACCATGGTTGGCAATTCGAACGCCAAGGAAAATGTGTAAAGATTCCACAGGTATGTTTGAATTATTAGTATTCTAGTTAATCAAAAACATTTCTGTTTCATATTATATGAATCCCCCTCTTAATTAATTTCATGATCTACACTAATTATAAAACTTAATTGATCTCTGTTTTCTCTAAACAGCTTCCATCTGATGCTAAAATCCGAGAGCAGCTTGTGTTAAATCATATGAAGTGAGGGATTCTCAAGGCGTTGTTTGGGTGTGGATGTCTCACAAGACACCACCAAACACCAAAAAACTACCTTGGTTCGAAAACTTTGATAAACCCGGCTTTGATTATTCTTCGACAATCCACGAGCTCCCCTACGATCACTCCATTCTTCTGGAGAACCTCATGGATCCAGCCCACATTCCAATCTCACACGACAGGACAGGTTTCTCAGCGAAAAGAGAGAACGCGCAGCCACTGAGATTTGAGGTGATTGAAAGCAGTGACAGAGGTTTTGCAGGGTATTATGGTGAGGCAAAAGACCAGCACTTGCCTTTTTTCTTAAGGTTTGAGGCACCCGGCGTTATCGAAAACAGGAGGGAAATTGTAGACAAGAACGGTGAGAAGCACTACTCTGTCGGGCTCTTCCTCTGTAGACCAACGGGGCAGGGAAAATCCGTGGCTATTATGAGGTTCGGAGCCACGAAACTCTCCCCGTTGGCAAAACTGTTTCCGACTTGGTACTTCCACCACATTTCTTGTACAGTTTTCGAGCAAGACATGGGATTTCTCTCGTCTCAGAACGAAATACTTTCGAGAGAAAAACGTCCCACGAAAGAGTTGTACCTTAATTTAAAATCATCTGATGTTTGGGTGGCAGAGTACAGAAAATGGGTTGACAGAGTTAGCAATGGCATGCCTTACCATGTAGGTCACAGCACTATATCGTTGCCCGAAGAGGCGGCCGTGGTGGAACATGCACCGGCAGGGCTTGTTGCCAGTGTTTCAGCGTCTCAGCCGGCTAAGGGAGGCGTTGGAACGATGCATGTTCCGAATTGGAGCAACCGATATTTTAGGCATGTGATTCATTGCAAAGGGTGTAGAAATGTTGTGAAGAGTTTTCGGGTTTTGAAAACCGGACTTTTGGGAGTTGCTGCTGTGATGGTTTTGGTTGCGATTTTGGTGTCCGGGAGGCAGTGGAAGGCGGTTTTTTTGGTGGCGGCTGCTGTGTTTTCGGCTGGGGCTTATGGTTGCTCAGCCGCTGTTGCATTGAGTACTACTAACTTCATAAGGTTGCACAAGAGGTTGTGATTTATGAGGTGATCAAAGATTCATATGTTAAATTATGAAATATTAAGAAAGATGTTTAAAGTGGACAATAGGGTACATGATTGACATTGTGGTTATTGAGTACCTCATGTGTTATATTCAAGTTTCCATATTTTAGAATATCCGAAAGTGAGTAAAAATATTTTTTAAACCAATCTTTAGTAAAAATTTAAGTGGAGTTTGAAAAAGTACTTTCAAACGAGCCAATTATTTGAGCTTTGTCTTGCAAGTTCAATTATAAGATTTGATATAGTCATACACTTTTTTTGTTTTGTTTTGCACTCTCATGTTTACTTTTGTCAACTGATTTTTTTTTTAATTTATTCAATCGAAAAATTAGAAATAACATAAGTCTGCAAGAGACGAATATGAGTGCGAAAAATCACTTCTCCAATTATGTCGGTTTTTGTTTGCTTTAAAATACATAAGTTTACATTTGAAAATTTGTTATTAAAATTTTAAAAATGTCATATCGCACTTTTTATTTATGAAGACATAGAAATGATACACTGTTTATGATAATTTTGAAATACTAAATAAAAAATATATTAATATACATCAAATCTGAATTGAGCATAACCAAGATGGATGGAGTAATATGCTTCTACATTTTCCCTTTAGATTAAAATTCTCTCTCTCTAATGAGATTCAAGATCCATGATCTGGCAGCTTTGAACTTTGAAGACATTTGAAGTGGGACTTTCACCAAATTCAACAAATTGGGAAGAAAAAGCTCCTCCTAGTGGATCCCACCAAGCGAGAAAGGAGATCGAAGCAGGAAAAAAAAAAAGGAATGGCCCATACAGGTCTCGAACCTGTGACCTTCGCGTTATTAGCACGACGCTCTAACCAGCTGAGCTAATAGGCCATTTGGCAATACTGTCAACTTCTACCTACTTCACGCATATTGGTCATACAGGGTGAAATTCAAATACTGCAGCCCAACAAAGTTTAAAGCCCAATGTTTGGAAGTTCCGGAAATGCTTGAGGCCATATCTACTTGAAGACGATCACATTTATTTTATTTTATCAAACAATAGATTAATGTTAGATTAGCCACCGACGAAATTTGAACATACGTCGTTATGCAAGGGCTTAACTTCTTTCCACCGTTGTGGTAAAGGGTCACTTGCTGAACTTTTTCTTTGGAGTAACCTCATTTGACCATCTAAATTATTACTCTAGATGAAATTGACTTCTAAACTACTTTTTAGTAAACTACTCCTTGAACTATTTGAAACTAGCCAATTAACTCTTTACCATCAGATTCGATAAAATTCATCTACTTTGTCATCAAATATTAGCTCATGACCAGTATGTGATTCATTCTTGAGGGTAAAGTCTTGCCAGTATTTGACAGTGAAGTGTATGAAATTTCATTAAAATCTTATGGTAAGGTGGATAATTGACTGATTTCAAAATATTTCAGTGGCTTAATTTGTTAAAAAAATAGTTCAGAGAATCAATTTTAACTAGGGTAATAGTTTAGGGCGTCAAACGGCAATTTATTTTTTTTTCTTTATGATTATAAATTTACAATCAGTTACGTACTTTTACATCCATGTGATTTGAAATTACAAAGTAATGGTACTCGACCATGTCAAGGAGAAAAGTAGCCTTTGAAAGTATATTAGTCGCAATGTTCGGTTTTATGTTTCTCACACAAGGAGAAAAATCAGCAACATTCACAAAAGCATGAGACTCATGTATTGGGGTCTCATTGATTTCAAGTAATTCCCTCTCATTGTGAAAGCTGCATGAAACTCCCTACAATTTTGTCTCATTCAACATCAATTAATCTCACTCAATGCAAAAGCTACCTTAAACTCGTTCAGTCATACCTATTATCTTCATGAGAAGTTGGGTTTGTTTGTACTATTGCAATGAATATTGAGTACCAAAAAGAGTACATATGTAAGAGAAACACATAAGCTAACTAGCACTATTTCTTGTTGATTGACCACACTTCAAAGATTGTGTGGCTAACATAAGTGCAACAAGCAAATAAGCAACCCCCAACCCAATTTCACTCTCTCGCTCCTCCCTTCTCTCTCTCTCTCTCTCTCTCTCTCTCTCTCTCTCTCTCTCTCTCTCTCTCTCTCTAGAGTCACATATTTACATGGCTTTATTTCCTCCTTAGATTTCCCTCTTCCTTTTCTTTCAATGTCATCATCTTCCTCCTCCTTTGCTTCCTCCCCAATTCAATCAAACATGGCTTTATTCCACCCCTTTTTCTCCCATTCCACCTCCCTCCACCTCCACCAAACCCCCAAGCAATCACAGCCGCTCAAACTCCTCTTATCTCTCTCCTCACCAACCCATCTCAGACCCTTCATTCCTTCCAGAAAGATTAGCCTGAGCAGCATCAAGTGTGGTGCAGTTGCAGACACCAAACCTCCTCCCCTGCCACTTGACGGAGATCAGGCGCCCGCAGCGGAGGAGGATCACAAGGTCATGGTGGGTCCAACCAGCGAGGCGGAGAGGAGGGGAGAGAGGGTCGTGGCGGATTACGATTGGACGGAGGAATGGTACCCGCTGTACCTCACACAGGACATTCCAGACGATGCTCCTCTGGGTCTCACAGTGTTTGATAGGCAGCTCGTCCTGTACAGGGACGGCAATGGAGAGCTCCAGTGCTACCAGGATCGCTGCCCCCACAGGTAACATTGTCTGTTGGTTCTAGATTCTTATATATAAGCATGCAAATTATTTTGGGGGGGGTTTAACTTTAATCCTTAAAAAATATTGAAATTTAAAATAAAGTTCGTGTTAGATTACATATTGATTATAATTCATTGATGTGTTTTTAATTCAAATTAATTAATGTACATTTTATTTAATGTCTCCCATTAAATATTTAAATTTATTAATATACAAATTTTAATTTATTTTTTGACCAAAAAAAAGTTTTTTAATTTATTAATTTTATTTAACATTCTTCAAACTTGAAAGACTCAATTAATGTACCAAAATGTTAGTACTGAAATGTATTATATTGAACTAATGTATTTAAATGTTAGTACCGAAATTTATGCACCGAAATATATTATATTAAATTAATGTACCTAAATGTGTGTACTAAAATTAATGCACCGAAATGTTAGTACTAAAATGTATTATATTGAATTAATGTACCTTAATGTTTGTATCGTAATGTATGTACCGAAATGTGTGTAGCTGAATATATGCACCAAAATCTATTATAATGAATTTAAAATACCTAAATGAAGAAGACAAAGTACATCATAATATATTGTATAACAAAAATTAATTTATAAATGTTTATAATAAAATATATTAGGATAAATGAAATGAAAATTATAATTATAATGAAATAAAATTAATACATTAAAAATTAGGAAGAAAAGAGAAATAATTCAAAATTCAAAATATAATTAATAAATGAGGTTATTAATGTATCAAAGGACTAAAATTAGATTTTGATCTTACTCATGGTTTTAATTTAAAAGTCATCTTTGCCAAGGATTAAAATGAAATTTGTTGTTTGAGTCTTAAGTGACTAATTTAGAGTTGAAAATAGTTGTTAGTGTTGCATTAACTTACTAATTGGTTAGCGCTCGTAGATTGTGCATGTTTATTTTGTAACCTTTTTTTCTTAATGTATGAAAGTTGTTAGCGTCGTATTAACTTGCTAACTAGTCATGACTCGTGACTCATGACAATCCTCTCTTAGCTAGGTTGGCGAAACTATCGGAAGGGCAGCTGATTGATGGAAGGTTGGAATGTTTGTATCATGGTTGGCAATTCGAAGGCCAAGGAAAATGCGTAAAGATTCCTCAGGTTTGCGACTGTCTCTTGAGCTAATTACACATTGTTAAGTGAGAAACTCAAAATGCATGGCAATTCGTGATTGATTTGGGATACCGTCACAGGCATACAGTGACATACTCTTTAATCAATGTCGGTTTATGATGTCGAGTGTGTGTTTATGTTTTTGTATTACAGCTTCCGGCTGATGCCAAAATTCCGAAATCAGCTTGTGTGAAAACATACGAGGTGAAGGACTCACAGGGGGTTGTGTGGGTTTGGATGTCTCACAAGACACCACCAAACCCGGCCAAGATTCCGTGGTTTGAGAACTTCGCCCGGCCAGGGTTTCAAGACACGTCGACGACTCATGAGCTGCCTTACGATCACTCCATACTTTTGGAGAATCTCATGGATCCTGCCCATGTTCCGATCTCACACGACAGGACGGATTGGAGTGCGAAAAGGGAAGATGCTCAACCACTGTTCTTTGAGGTCACTGAACGAACTGATCGAGGATTCGCAGGCTGGTGGGGCAAGACGACTGATCCTTCGGGGAAAAGCTTCTTGAGGCTTGAGGCACCATGTTCTCTCCAAAACAACAGAGAAATTGTTGATGACAAAACTGGGGAAAAACACTACTTTTCGGGTCTATTTCTCTGTAGACCAACTGGACAAGGGAAGTCTATGCTCATTGTGAGGTTTGGTGGAACGAAAAGGTCCCCAATCGCGAAATTGTTTCCAAAATGGTACTTTCATCAGAATGCCGGCAAGGTTTTCGAGCAAGATATGGGATTTCTATCGTCGCAGAACGAGATACTCATGAAAGAAAAAGTACCAACCAAAGAGCTGTACCTGAACCTGAAATCTTCAGACACTTGGGTTGCTGAGTACAGGAAATGGATGGACAAAGTAGGGCATGGAATGCCTTACCATTTCGGACACAGCACAATCTCGTTGCCCAAAGAGCCTGCTGTGGTGGAACACGCACCTGCCGGACTTGTAGCCGGGGTTTCTGCATCTCTGCCGGCAAAGGGGGGCATCGGATCGATGCACGCTCCAAACTTGGCCAACAGGTATTTCCGGCATGTGGTTCACTGCAAAATCTGCAGAGATGTTGTCAAAGCTTTCCAAGCATGGCAAAAGGCATTCACTGCTGTTGCTGTTGCATTCGCTGCATTGGCAATTCTCGTCTCCGGAAGGCAGTGGAAGGCCATTCTATTAGTCTCGGCAGCGATCAGCTCAGCTGGGGTTTATGCGTGCTCGTACGCTGTGGCATTGAACACGACAAACTTCATAAGGACGCATAGGAGATTGTGAGCCGTCGATTCCATGCCAAGAAGACGATTTGAAATTATAAATCTGTACTTTTTATACGTTTGGATTCTCTTTGGTAAGCTTAAGATCCCGCAATTGTTGTGGCTTTCTCAAAAAATTATTATGGCCGAGTGGCCTAACTCACATCTGCGTTATCAGATAGTTTCATTATCCTGTGTACCTCGCTTGCAAACGAAACTCTCGCAGCAGCGATCGTTATAGATGGTACAATTGAAGGTTAGGGAAATACATCAAAACTCCCTACACATACTCTTTAATCATCTTACATATGCCAAAAAAAGGATACAGGAGAAGGACGCTGTAGGTAAGCGCCAAATGAACCGGTATATGATATCAAGCCATGCAGACAATGCATGCTTTTCCCATCGAAATGATCTTCAAGCTGTGGTGTCAGTCGTGTATGGCATGGAAAACGAATGGTGCGTAAACTGGATTATCTCAGATGTTTTGTGCAGATCGGGCAAAGTACTCGGAATCCTTGGCAGTCCAACCGAAAAATCAGTGCCCAAACTTGAAGTTTGGGATGAAACATCAAATTCGACCTTCTCGAGTGTCTGGAAGAAACAAACAATTCAAGTTTACTCATTGGACAAGAAAACCAACAGGACCTTCTAAATAATGACATTTAGAAGTTTAAACCGTCAAAAGTTTAAAACTACCTGAAGAGACTGCTTGAAAACCTCGAACAACTTTTCGTTACGTTTCCTTTTTGAAACAAGTTCATCGTGCTCCTTCAACAGTTCATCAAACATGTTCTCTCTGCATAATTAGTGGAAGCAAATCACCCTCGAAGTTTTCAATCAACAATATGCAGCAAAACCAACAGAAACACAATCATGCGGGAGATAGAGTAATTCACAGAAGTCCTGCCAGTAATGGCCGGAATAAGGACCGTAAATTCCTCCTTTTCAATAAGACATACCTGTACAGTTTTTGAATAAATGCTGTCTGAAGGTTCTGTTTTGTAGAATTGACCTATGCCACAGTAAGAATGAAACATATCAATGTATTTCAACAGTAACCGTAATATAAATATTAACACAGTGAAAAAGGAGGAAAATAGGCATACCAGAAAGTGCATTATAGCTTTTGGAACTAGGTCTTGCATGTTCTTTCTGACAATGTCATAATAGGATTGCAAGAGTAATTTGGTTATAATAATTTCCGCTGCCTCATTGTCTGTCGTTTCAGTTGGCCTTAAGATGGACGGTGGCTGAAATCAGCAGGGACAAAGGGAAAAGCAAAGGGATCACATTTAAATCCTCAAATGAAAAAGCAGATAATAAATTAGAATGAAGAAATAAAATTCTGTAAACTACAGATTTACCTCTCTCAAATTGATTGTAGAGGGCATTGACTCCGAATGACTTTGTTCACCAAAACGTCCGCCAGACTGTACAGCTGATGTCCTACTCCCAAATATAGACGGAATACCCCAAGTCCTTGTAGAACCTGTTAACAAAATTCATTGGTCTTAGCAATGGCAGATTAATAGATAGATGTGCCATCATATATGCACAAGAAACATGTTAACAGAATAAAGCAGTTTCAATATACCAAAGGCAGCAGTATGCTTGGAAATAGTAGACATGAGTTTACCAGAAGATACTGGATTCTCGTTATTCAGCTGAGGACGACTTCCCTGCCAAACACCAAGACTATATTAGATTGAAGGCATCTATGGAAGAAGAAAGATAAGCCAAAAGCAGCAAGGCCCTCCAAACTAGTTAATCCACAAATCTAATTTTACCCCATTTACTTGGATTCACAAAAGTGTTTTTAGGCTTTTAGCCAACTGGAAAGCTGATTTAAAAGGAAAACAGTGCTCCAAATTACAGTTTTCTTCACAAACAATCCAAATCTGATATTTCAGGTAGAGAATGAACTAGTTAGAGCCTATTTTTCATGCTAAAACAAAAAAGACGAGCAGATTTTGTTCTTCATTCTAGCACTATGGGTGGCTCCAGCGTTTGTCTCTACAAGGTTCAACAACCCCAGTCTTCCACTATCACGCTTCTACCATTAGCTAGGTTAATGGAACCCCATAAAAAGAAGAAATAGCTAGGCTAATGGAAGATCATAACAATTCAGGTGATATGGGCCCCAAAGAGTAAGCAAGGACCTCCAATTTCTTAAGGGCCTTTCTTCTATGGTTCTGGGGGGTTGTTCTCCCCTTTCTGTTTTCAACTCTGCCATCCTTTTGTCTTTCCTTTCTCTTTTTGTTTGGACTACCCAGTTTCCGTCTTGTAATATTGTCAACTAAAAATGAAAGGCATACTTGGTAAGGTAAAATTCCATTCATAACTGTCTTAGCCTGAACAGTTCGAGATGTCTGGCCTTCAACATCCGTAACACCCTGAAACATATAAGAACAACTTTGAGGTATAACCGATAATTGACAAACCCTTTTACATGAGATCTAATGATGATTGGGTCGAATAATAGTGCAAAGATAATAAGGAATAAAATACGTTACCCTAAAAAAAAGGAATATAGCATGCAACCACTCTAAATTTATTGATATGAACTTGATGATAGAGATCAAACAAAAAGTTCTCTTGATAAGAATGAAGAGTCAAATCTCAATAACTTTTTCCTTTCTCAAAATAAGAAGGAAAAACACACTAAACAGAGATCTCTGTACACTATCAATAAAAAATAAAGCCACCACTGTATAGTTTGCCTTTCTGATCTTTCAGATCATATCAAAACTGAGATTTCATATTCATAATTGACTTCGGTTAATATGACAGGACTTTTGTTATAAAAATAAAACATAGGACTGTTAGATTAAAGAAACTAAAAGTTCATGACAACATATTTGTTATGAATCCAACACACGATCAGGACTGCTTCATCGTGTCTAATAGTAAAGCAGTAACTGTTTAAGCTATTTTATTTACATTATTATCATCCATTTCACCAATGTTGTAGAAGATACCTTTTGTGCTTTCAACTGCTGCATAGCAAGCTCAGAAGCTTTCTTCCCACCTATAAAACGTGGATGCGAAGTGTTTATATAATCCACCTGAATGGAAGAAAGTTGGGCAATCAGCATTTGAGTAAATGTGAAAGAAATAAAACCATAGCATGTAATTCTGAGCAATCTCTTAAAAGAAACATATATTGTCAGTGAAGAGATCAGTGCCGAGCACAATTTTTTGTGACATGACCAACAGATCTAAGAATTGATCACTTTTGTGGAGCCAAAAATAATCGAGAAAAATATGGAGGTGACACGTGGATTCTAGGGTGAAAAGGATAAAATTACCCTCGAGGAATACCGGAACTCCTACACACGAGCAGTGGACAATCATGACTCAATCAAGGTCAAAAGTGCTCAAAATAGGTAATTATTCAAAACCTATCTCATCCATCCTCATCAAATCTTCTCCACAAGGTAACCCCCAAATCATTCCTTTCAAATTTTATTAATTAGCTAATTAATTGATTTATTACTCAAGCCGACATTCACCTCTCCCATACCCTGCGTAAAGCGGGAGCCTTGTGCACTGGGTACGACCTGAGCTAATTAATTGATTTATTACTCAATTAATTTATTAATTGGCTAACAAATTATGAATCACACCCAAAAAACCATCCAAGTGGCCGGTCCCCATCCTCCCAAAGGGGCCGGCCATACCCCTATAAATTCTACCTCATTTTCTCCAAAACTCAATTCCATCTCTCTTGCAAAACTCTCTAAATTCTCCAAACACTTTTCCCTCAAAATTCTAGCTTTGGCATCGGAGGTTTTTCGGCCAAAGCCCGCCCCCCCCCCTTCATTGTAGGCGAGTGAGGCTCTTGGCCTTGACCTAAGGTGTTATTTGTTTTGTAGGTGCAATTTTGTCCAAGAAGAAGAAGACGGAAATTTGCATCCACAACTTTCATTTCAAGAGTGTCAACAAACCATTGGTAGTAAGAGCCACCCAAAAACTAAATAAAGGGTTGGCAAGAAATATAGGATATCATACACTACAGAGTTGAAAATTTACTGTATTACCAAAATGTTAAAATCACCTTTTTTTTTTTTTTTAAAGGGTTGAGTGTTTTACCAGTTACTAATGTCAACTCAGTGTGATTAGATTTTATATTCCGCTATTTTAACATTATTTTGAGAGTGCATGAAATCATTTTAACAAATGCTGTACATAATTTTTAGTGAATAAACTTTAGTCTTAATTTTTCTAGGTTGACAAAGAGCTACCTCCATCTCAATAAGATTTTCTATCATTCTCAGGGCAGGCTTTGCCCCTTCCCGCAAAAAGTTTACCACGACTTCATCCAGACACTTTCTCAATACTGGAAACCTTTGCAACTCAATTACCTCGCAAGCGCGGCTTATCTGCAGGGAAAATTTTATCTTACTGATTATATTTACACCTCAGGATTCATGGACACGCTATAAGAATTCCATAAGCACCACAGGTGCATAAATCATATCTCACCTTCACAAGTTCATCATAAACAAAATGAAGACACTGACAGCTTGGGTCTAGCAACCGAGCAATTTGTCTTCTTACTAAAAATTCAAATGGGACCTAAAGATAATTCAAAAACATATCAGGCACTGTGTAGAACCAAAGGCATGGGCGTCTACCTTTATGCTAGGGAAAAATGCAAAACTACAGCATGTAATCATCATTAAACTCACCTCAGGCACAAATAAAGCATTTTTTGCACCAGAAGCGTTTTGAATAGCCGTTCGAATATCATCATCAGTTAGATCGTCGCAGGGATCCACACCCTACAATTCGTGAGAGTTAGTAGCCAATCTGATGGTACATGTCTCACAGTGGAACATTAGTTCTACAACTCGGTGCCTTGATTACATATATAACACTACATAGTTTTCTTCAAGACAACCTTCAAGGTATGCTGACATCAAACAAATAAGCAGAAGACAGCAACTGACAACATAGTAGTCTATGGCTTTAGATTAAAACTTACAAAAAGAAAGAAAGCAAGAATTTGTACCTCCAAGCTTTTTACAAAAATTGACTGGAGAATGTAGTGGATCCTAGCACCTCCTGATAATTCTTTGGTTGACATCTCCTGACTTTTTCCCTCCAACATGGCAGCAAAAGCTGTCCATTGGTGAAACAGAGAGAGAAGAAACATTAACATCATCAGTGAAAACAGCTAAAACGAAAATAACAACAAACAAGGTAGTACTTGAACAGCATGCTCTATTAGCATAAATGCCCTAAAAACAAGTTGCTTAAAATCATAAAAAACCATGATTACACAAATTAAAGAAGACTAGAAGACTTTAGAGAAAGGCTTTCACTTTACGTTAATTTCAGTTGGGCCACATGGTTAAGTCCATGTGACATCATTGGTATTCTCCACAAACGTATAGTTTCTCGGGTCCAGTAAAGTTCATATGATACGGTATGTGTACTAACTTAGTCTGTGAGAAAAAATTAGAGAAATTAAATTTACAGTATTACTATATCTCACTTGTGCAAATTGTTGTGCATAACTCGTGCTGATCCTCAGCGTCTCTTAATAAAACAAAAAGAAAAGATGGGGTGGATTTCCTTCCAGCTCTACTGCACCCTAATCCCATTGCAGGAATTTCTTTTCACTATCACATGCTTCACCACCAGTCACAGAAACACCTCATAGCCTTCACTACTAAATCCTCTCCGAGAGGTTGGCTAAGGTAATACAGTACTCTCTCCCTATGACAAATATAGATCCAATTCTTTGGAAAAAAATGCTAACAGAATCAAGAAAGATATATTAAGTGATACTTTGAGGTATATCATCCATGATTCCAAGGCATGCAGGCAAGTGAAAGATTGACATTTAACAAATAACAGAAATAGAAATCTCACCTTCGCAATATTTTGTTAAAATGTTCAACAAAACCACTCCCTGCGCCATCTGGTTCAGGACAAGTGACAAAAAATTGTTACAAACAGCTAAAAAGTGAAGAGTGTACCATCTATGCCAATAACAAGAGAATAGTTTTGAATGTGAATGCATGTGTCTATGCACTTCGCTATGTGTTCCATCAATACTAGCAAAATATCTGTATAGACTGGTCATGAATATAAATAAAAAAGGAAGAGGACAAGGGGACAAGGGAACTGGACTTGGACCTAGTGTTTGGATGCGAATGCAACACTTCAACCATTTAGGAATCAGTAGTTTTCTAACTCTCTGCATGCATTAAATGCAGTAGATAATACCAGCCCCTGATAAGTTGTTTTGCAACTTACTTTAGATTCTAAAGGTTGCCCATATGCCTGCAGTTCTTTGGAAACAGAAACCATTTGAGAATTCAACCGAGCCTTCAAATCAGGGAGAACCCTTTTGATATGCTGCTCCAGAATCTAACACAGAAAACCAACCATGACAACAGTGCAAAAACAAAGAGAGTACAAAATAATATAAAACAAAAACAATACATAAGCACCTAAGAATTTCATTTCCCTTTAGTATAACTTTGTTATGACTTTGGTTCATAGTTCATACCGACCTGATTCAGGTTCCTTGCTAACTGGGGCATGCCGCAACGATCCGAGAGGTTACTATACACCTTTAACATGTGTGGCATACAACAAATGTTAAGTGCCAAGACAAACAATTATCATTATTTTCGCAATATAATGTACAAAGAAAGCAAACAGTACAGGGTGCTCATTGAAGAATTTCTCCTCGTATGCAAGTGCAGCAGCAATCCCACGGTTTTTATTGATGTCCTGTGACACAAGAATAACACTTAAGTAATAGAGCTTGAACCTTGCACCTGCATTTTCTTCTATAACAATAACATTTTAGCAATGTACTAAATAAAACAAATGTATGCTACAATATATACATACACACACACACACACACACACATATATATATATATATATAGATACATGTATATATAACTTTAGCGGAACAATTCATACCTCCTGGCTACGATTCACAACACCAACATAACCGAGCTTTAGCGGAATAACTTTCCCAAGCAAAAAGTTACAGGCATCGGTGCCCCTGTCCATTATATCAAGCTACAGATAGAACAACATTGTCATATTGTACAACAACTGACGCGTTTAATAAACCGGAGTCTAAGAGGTGAACCACAAACCTTGGTGATCACACCGATTGTGCGGAAACCTGTTAATACATTTATGTCAGTACATTATGCATTGGATGTAAAAGTCGAATTCAGAAGTAAAATGTGCAGGTACCATTTGGGTCGGCTTCTCTAGCCATCTGAAGCGCATCGGAGGTTGCCAAATCGGAATTCGCAGGACTAACAGCCAAAATAATACAGTTTTGCTGTGTAATATAGTCCATAATCATCTTCCTAATCATTGCTTCTATGTCTCTCGGTTGATCTCCCACCGGAACTTTCGTGATTCCGGGCAAATCAACCAGTGTCATATTAAGCACATTCGGAGAGGTAATCTTCAGCCGGATTTGCTTATCCGAAACCCCTTTGTTCAATCCGGCCTCCCTATCCGTCTCGGCCTGCGCCGACAAAACAATTATCAAAAAACAGTATAACTACTAGCAGCAATGCTGAAGAAGAAGCTCAATCCGTACCTGAATTTCGCGGCGGATTGCGGAGAAGTCGTAGAAGCGTTTTCCGGGCAAGTGGCGGAACTCTCCCCACTCGGTGTGCTCATCGCCGGGTTCTTCCGCGCGATACTCGAGCATCAGCACGAGCGGGCGGCGAGTGCAGATGTCGCGGCCGCGGGGGAGGAAGTCTCGGCCGACCAGGGCTTCGAGGACGCTCGACTTCCCGCTGCTCTGGCTTCCCACGACCGCCACCTGAGGCAGCGAAATCTGCGGCTTGTCGCTGACCACCGGCGCGAGAATCCTGGAGCTTGTTGATCATCGAAATTAGCGACGAGCCGATCGTCACTGAAGGTCTCGGACTGGTTGCCGAGGAGCCGACTTCCCTAGCTTCTTCTCCCATGGTGCGGTTTTAGAGAGAGAAAACTTACACTCTGATTACAGAGAGTGTGGCAGAGAGAGAAAGCAGAGTTACAGAGAGTAAGGTAGAGAGAGAAAGAAAAGAGAAGGGGGGAGGGGGGGGGTTGAAATTAGAGGTTTAAAGCGTGTACGACAGTTTAGCTGGTGGTTCTTGGAGGAGAAGGAAGCAGACCGGAGGTACTGATACTGTTTCTCAAAGAAAATGGTGGGACGCTTTTCTGTGTATTTTGGGTTTAGATGAGGGATGCGAGCCGTGGGATCTTAAGGTACACTGAGTCACGAGTCACCAATCCCACACAGGATCCTCTTACATTTTGAGAACTTTAACTTAAAAATCTACGGTACTGTTCATTTTAACGAAAAATCACATTTTTACGCTAAAAAGTCAAGCTTAGTTTTTCTTTTTATTTTACTCTGGTTTGAAATGAAGTCCAAGGAAGGGAATCAGATCCCTTCCTCCTAATCCATCAAGTTCGGGAATCCGGATCATTGAAATTTGATCCAACGATTACAAATAAGAGCCCACTTTAAAAGTTATAATTAATTTTACCGTTTGATTAAATTTCAATGGTCCAAATCCCCAAACTTAATGGATTAGGAGGCAGTGGTGCATCCCTTTCCGAAGTCCAAGGGCAACCTAAGTGTTCTTTTTTGGTTTTTACAAGTGATATAAAACGCTACTTGTGAAAAGTGTTTTCATATAATCAAAAGTTTTTTTATTTTTTATTTTTTATTTTTACTGATGTGTGTAAAATAATTAAAAGCACTTTTAGATGAAAAGCACTTTGATTTTGTTTTTTTTTTTTTCCCGAAACACACTGATGAAAAGCTTTTCGAATGAACTGATAAACGACTTTTGAAATTATTGGAGTTTTCGGATGGTCAAAGCACTTATGGTAATATTTGTCATAAAAGGTTAAAAACTTAAAAGTCATTTTAGGAAAGCCAGTAGCATGTGCTTTTTTGAAAGTCCATGATACAAGTGCTCACTTGCATAAGTGCCTTATAGAGAAACATTTTCTAAAACCGGACTCGTTTGAGAAGTGCTTTTAAAATTGTTGAAAGCGCTTTCCATTTGACAAAACAAAACTAATAGCATTGAGATTTTAATAACAACATAGTTAGTCTGGGGGGAAAGGAGATCAATGTATGTACAACAATCCAAGGGGTCAAAACGCATCCTACACCTATGAAATTTTCGAAGTAAAATAAAGTTTAGCATACATTATACGCTTACAAATGATGCACAAGATAATACAAAGGCTAAAATTTAAGCCATCTCTTCTCTTTTTCCTTACTGACAACCGCATTCGACGCAGACGCTTGAGCGGCCTCTGCCTGTGCCAAAGCGTTGCGAGTCTCCGTCAATTTCCTCATCGCAGCATCATAAACCACCTTCTCATTTTTGTTTCTAATTGCCATTTCTTCAAGCTTCCCAACTCGCGCCTTCAAGTCCTTCACTTCATCATCGTAAGCAACCAAAGCCCGCCTATCAACTTTCTTTCCCTCCCCTGATCCATTGCTCTGCTGCTTCTTCGCTGATTTACCATTCAATGCTTCACCGTGCTTTGCAAGTTGGCTATTAATAAGACTAAAGACATCTGGTGTTGATTCCTCTTCTTCTTTTGCTGCTCTTGCCAGTGCTGCAAACTTCTTTTCACGCTTCCTCTTACCACCCCTGCTACGCTTCTTTCCTTGATTCTCTTTGCTCTCTTTACTCTCTTTACTCTCTTCACCTTCACGGGTTTTGACTGCATGATCGAGAGATTGCTTTGGCGGAAGGACCTTCACGGAGATGGGATCTATAATTCCCTGGCCAGATGCACCTAGACCAGTTCCTTCAAGGTAACCCATGTTGGCCATCATCCTGGACGCTATGCCACGGGTGTGGTTCTCCCACTTTGCAAATATGGCAGTTTCTGTCTGAATACCCCTCTGGAGGATTGTGCTTTCAAGAAATCCTAAACCCTGTGGGGTTTCATCTTCATAGTCACTAGAATCAGATTGGTCAGAGCTTGAATCACTTTCTTCTTCATCGCTCATCTGAGCATGCTCGGACAATGTTATAGCGTCCTCCCCAAGATCTGCAGAGCTTCCATCATCTCGGAATACAACTTTTCCAACCCCAAGTGCACCGTCCCATGATTCAAGTTCAGCTTCCCTCCACACACCAGTTTTACTATCTGATACTGCCCAAATATTAGACCCGACCAGTGACTGCTCCCATATTGTCGGGATATACTTTCTCAGTGAGGAAAGTGGGACATCAACTCCTGCATGCATAGGAAATGGGTGAGCATGGAGATTCTGAACTCGTTCCGAAAAGCATAAGCAGTTCTATGAAGCATAAAGGAAAAGGGTGCTTTAACTTCTGAAGCCCAGCTAGGTACGGCTACCAATCTAAAATATAGCCTGGCTATGAGCCTATGACCACCAATATCTCATACCACGCATTGTTCCAGAGGCTAATAACAATGCAAACATGGCATCAGTGGGACCATAGACAAGCTATCTGTCAATAGATAACAACATACCATGTGATAAGCGGCAGTTGGTACCAAATCGACATCGTTGTTGAAGAAAGAACTTGCAAATCTGCATTTTGATGGTTCAGCATTAGTATTTTTAAGTGGTTATATAGCCTTGGCTTATTGACTTTGAAGTGACACACCATCTCCACCAGGTTCAACCTTAAATCAAATGTGGGGCTTTATATTTGTAACCTTGTTGCTTTGGTTAAAATTAAAGTTTATACTCACGGTAGCATGTCCTCTCCAAAATCATTAAGAAAAAAGCTATAGAAACGAAAAGGAAAAGTTCACGAGATAAAAAGGGGACCAGCAAAATGTACGCACCATCATATTCTCAGATGTAGGAGTGAGGAAAGAAATCTTTGCAGAATCCGAACCCTCCAATCCAATAACCTGACCATTATACCAACGTCCATCAGTGTGACGGAACCTACATTTCGACCCAACAGGGTAACTCGGGTCCTCCAGCGGCTCCGGCTCAACATCTGTTTCTGTTAGATCAATAGTCTCCACCTTAACACCCTCATCAACATGAGCAGAACCATCTAGCACTAAATCAGCTTCTCGTAATAACCGTGCCCGTTTCAGGTTCAGCAGCCCTTCCTCGGCATCTTTAATCGCCTGAACAATCTCCTCGTGAAGCTGCGAAAACATAACCCCCAATATATGGTTTTCAAAAACCAACCTAGATTTCGATTTCGATTAAATCACCTAAAAACTTAACTTCCTAGTACATTATTAACTTGCAGAGCTAAGAGCACGATCATTCACATTTCAAAATTCATATCAATTAAGCTAATTTCAACTACAAAATCCTATCAATCTGATCCATATCAATTACAAGATAATTAACATAATAATTATTAACGGAATTTAGACAAATTTGGCAATAATATTGTACAAATTGAAGGCTTTACACGTTTATCACCAGCGCTCAGCTGGATTTTATCACAAAATCGTACTCCACCAAATGAATCGTAAAACCTAGCATTATCAACACTTTCTTTCGTGGATTTTCTCGGTAACCAAACAGAAAGTTTTCGCTGTAAAGTAAGAGATGAGGTACCGCGAGAAGCTCGGTATTGCTGGGCTCAGAGGCTAGAGCGTCGTTAATGGTAGAGAGAGATTCTCTTTGCTCTTGCAATTGAAGCTCCAGTAGGTTCTCCAGAACCCTCTCTTCCTCGTCTGCCATGGCTGTTGTTCCGCACGCGCTAACTCTTTCTCCAACGGTGAAACCCGTGTCGGTATATAAACTGAAAAAGAACTCGGACTCCTCCAATGGGCCAACTGTACATATATTTGGAATTAAGCCCAAGTAGAGTATTTTTGCACCCCTTGGGGCCCATTGAGCCCAACTATCTCGGACGCGTTCGACAACTCACAAGAGACGCGAGAGAGGTTCTTGAGTAGGAAACCAGATTGGGTTGATGAGAGGGAAGACGAGGTCAAAGTGGGGGTGGAGAGATTTTTCCGTGTGCGGGGAATACCGCCGAGTACACTAATTGTAATAATACAAATGGTTAAAAAATTTACAAAGAAATTCTCAACCAATTGTATTATGACACTTAGTGTACAGGGCTAAAATTTCTCCTAAGGGTGGTGTATGTGATGTTTGTGTATGGAGTCCGCACAAACACCGAACTTCAGAATTTCTCTTAATACAAGTAGGGCTCGTTTGGATGTATTTTTAAAATGTCTGAAAGCGCTTTTAGATAAAATGTTTTTGAGTTCCAAAAACACTTTAAGTGTTTTTTGCAAGAAGCACAAGTTATGTGTTTTTTCCATGAAGCACTTTAAGTGTTTTTCCAGGATTTACTTGCATTTTTACTAAAGATTGCTTCCAAAAACTTTTTTACCAAAATTGCTTTCAATTATTTTAAAAGCACATCCAAACGAGGTAGTAAGCTCTACAGAAGCCTCTTATATGTGGGTTCCACCTCAATTAGAAAGTCGTCCAACTTCTCCCTAACCTCAAATTCAACACCCCATAAAGTGGTATATGTTTGTAATGAGTTTGATACTTCGTGGCTTAAAACCGTTCATTGTTTGATACAAAAAAAACAGTACAAAAGCTAAAATAGGGCCTAATGTACAGTTATTTTGTCATGGGCCATAATGAGGTGAAATTGGGCCCTTTTCTCCGAGAAATTAAAATTCGAACCCGCGAAGCAAGTTCAGAGTCGGTTGGCGCGGGTAAACTGGTTTCCCATTACTACACAGTGAGCAGAAAACCCTAGGAGAGAGAAGGTGAAGCTCTGAGAAAATGGGGCAGGTAAACGAGCATCACGAAGCGACTGACGGCTTGGTGAAGCTGCTGACGAAGGCGAACCACGATCTGACGGTGGTTCAGCACCGGCTCGAGAGGGAGTTCCAGCAAATCTACCCGGATAATGCGAACCCGATGAAGCTGGTTTCGAGGATAAAGAAGATTCAAGAAGAATTGTCGACTTTGGAAGATCAGTGCCGCGAACTTCTTTCCGCCAAACAGGTAATTTTCAAATTTTTTTAGATAAAATTGGGAAAATTTAGTTTTTAATTTTGATTTTTGGGTTTTGGGTTTTGAAGGATTTGATTGATAAGGCTAGGACGACTTTGGTTGGGAACAGAAACCAATTGCAGCGGATGGAGGCATCGATGGGAGTTTTCGCCGACGCTGATTCGGATGATTCTGCTTTTGCTAACTTCAACCAGGTTAATTTCTTTTGGGTACATTTCATTTTCATAAATGAAAATATTGGAGCTAGCACATATAGATTGATAGTTAGAGTGGATCGAAATTTCGTGAATCGGTCATTACACTGTACGTGATTTCTATGCCAGAATGCTGGTGAATGCTGTATCTATTAAAATCCTGTGAAATCCAAATCGACTACACCCCCCTTAATTTCCAAGAAATCGAAGCTGAGAATACGGTTTTTTCCCTTTGCTATGGAAATAGAATCGTGGATCGGTGTAGTTTGTGATCACAGTATTGTGTTGTTTGCTGTTGTTAGCAATACCTATGTGAACGGTTGTCTAGTTTTCCAGATGGTGTTTCAAGTGTTTGCACCATTTCCAGCAAGCAACCAAGATTAATCTATGGCTCCTCAATGTTTCTAATTATATGCCCGTTCAAAGATATTCTGCGGGTAGCTTTGTAGCGGAACTATGCCTTGCTACATTCAGGATCCAGTCACTTCACCTTTCTTACATCTTTTTGGTCTCATACTTAAAACATAAATTTATGACCATATTGATCTCTTATGCAGGTCATTGATGAGTGGACGGTTCAAGTCAGATCAAAAACGGGTAACCTCTTACTATTAACGCTGTAATTACTGTTGGGAGGAAATTGATGATGCCGCTGGGTGTAAATATCAGTACTTAGTCAGTAATTAGGGATGGGGTATCAAAATTGGTCCTGTTTGTTTCTGTAGAATAAGGAACAGAAGGAATTCTCCACAGCGTGTTCAACTTTTTCATTAACTATGGATTTGTCAATGTTGGTAGTTGCCTAGCTCTTGCAGTGAAACATTGTTTTTGGAGAGATGCAAAAATTCGAGAAATGAATGCCTTTAGTTGATATAGAGTTGTATAGAGTTTTAGAACGGATCTTGATAAAGCGTTGTTGGTGCAGGGGATGAGAACCGGGATTCTGATTCGGAGGATATCAACCAGTTACTCTTTTCGGCTATAGTCTAAAGCAACTGCTCTTCTTCAGTGAGGTTATTTGTTCATGTCTATATCTGATTACATTTGCATTGAACATACATTTTATTGGAAGTATAGAAAAGAACTTGTTTTCATTTCTTTCGAAAATACCATCTCGAAATCAATCTGTTCCGGATGTGTTCTCTTGTACATGAGGGGCGCCACAACAAACGTGTGAATCTTCCTGCACCACCTGTCTCCGCAACGTTTTCCAAAACCTGCTTGACCGAAGGTAAGCAAATTTGGTGTTCTGGATTATATTGGAAATGAAATAGGTTTGGTTTCATTAACTTTTTGGGTTATTAAGTTTGTATGCTCTGATTGTTTTGGAATTTGAGTTTGGATTGAAATTTAATTTTGATATACAAAAGCACTCACCTTAAACACAGAGGAATCAAATGCTTGAGTTAAACAATTAGCTGATCACAAATCGGTATTTTTTTGGTATTCTTTCTTCTGATTTTTTGGGTTTCCATCTAGGTTATTTTCTGAACATGTTGCATTTATTTTACGCTTGGTTTTGTATACCCTACATCAGTCAAATAAATAACCTTATAGAACCAGAAGCCACTAAAATGGCCAGTGGCATATATGTTTATTTCTATGTTTTCAAATCTAGGTTTTAGATATTTTTCTTTGTTTTGGTTAAATATGAAATTTTGGTTCCCAATTTCTTAAAACTTTAGAATATTTTTTGCTATTTAGTGTGGGAATATGGGTCCAAGATTGGATTCTTCCAATTTTTGGGCAGTGAAGACAGGGTGGTGACACTAGAGAATTCCAACTTCGTTGTGGTCGAAATCATAGTTTCATTTTAGATTTTCTTTTGGGTTTATGAAATGAGTTGGAATGATGTCTCATGATTATGTGAATGTTTTCAAATCGGTGAGAGAGCTTTTGGGAAAAAGGGTCAGAAAGGATTTGGAGTTGGAATTTGTAGAGCCAAGACGACTAAATTTATTAATATTCACATAATCATGAGACATGATTAGATTATGAGGTTCACAACTAAATTAAAAATCAAATTAGAAAACAAATTCAGGACAAGAAAAATTGTGATGATCCCCAAGAAAATAGGAAGTAAAAAATTTTGATGATTAGATTTTGAAATTTCTTTTTTCCCAAATCCATATCGACGTGGGTTTTTGGTTGTTTTAAGGAAGTGGAAGAAGTCAATGGCATTTGCTTAACTCAAAGCTTTTCTTTCAATGGTTAATCAGTAATAAGCAAGCGTATACGATATAAATTTCAGATTGAGTAAAGTTTGATGCTTTATGTGTTTAAGTAGGCGTGCGAATTTTTTTGAAGTCATATCTTAAGTGATTAGTTATTTTACACGGTATGAGTTAGTAAACATAGAGGTCGCACTTGGTGCGATGGCAAGTGCCTTCACCCATGAGCGGTAGGTCTCGGGTTCGAGACTTGGGAGCAGCCTCTCCATAAATGGGGGTAAGGCTAGCCGACATTCACCTCTCCCAGACCCTGCGTAAAGCGGGAGCCTTGTGCACTGGGTACGACTTGATGTTGCGTAGGTGATCAGTATTATACACAGAATCGATGAGGACATGCAAAACTTCGTGCAACTGATGGAGGCAATGACAATTTTACATTCTGGAAACTAAGATGAACAAGGTAAACTGGTAAAGGGTGATGTTTAAAAGAATATGTAACTTGCATAACTTGAATGAAGAAGAATTGTTACAACATGAATAAGATGTTACTACAATTTGTATAGCGGCTTTGACGGTTGAAGCTTTCCAAGAGCAGGGATCTCTTTCAAGCAAAGCTGCTACTTGGAAACAGGAGGCTGTCCTAACCACTTGGCACGAAAGCCTGTTCCTTTACAGTCGGAACATCGCATTGATCCCTGGAGAAACACGAGATAGCCGGGTTTTTGTTATACACTATTTATAGCAGAAAATGCAAATGCAGATCGGAAATTGAAGACGATAGCAAGAATCACCAACAGGCTCCGTGAAGATTTTACTCACCTTACCGGTACAAATAACACAACTTGTACTTTTCGAAGAGACCTGGCAGAGCATGTTATCGCCGAGAATAAAGAAGCCTGTTCCGGCACACCATTTGCATTCGATATGACCATTTGAGTTGCAAGAAGAACAAGCAATAGGCCTTGGTTGCTGCAAGTAGCGAAAACATCGAAGATTTAGACAACAATAAATGGATTTGTGATTGTGTGGGTGACTTTGAATGTTCCAAGGATGTCGAACTCTAATCTGCGCGCATCAACCCTTCACAATGCAATCTTCAAAATTCATTAACCACATAATACCTCTAATTGGATTAGTACTCCTGTCACCTGTGGTGATAAGGTAATCGAAAGATGGCCAATTAGGATTGGTGAAGTTTGCTAGCATTTAAGCTGAAAATAGGTAGTTGGAAGATAGCCAATTATGATTTAAACTCGTGGTGAAGTGTGCTAGAATTTAAGCTGAAAATTGAAAGTTCCATCAATTTGTTGTTAATTTTTAGCGCATGAGTCTTACATGTAAGGCTAAAAAGATGAAGTTAGCCTCACGTGATAACAATTAATTGGATAGGTCATGTGGTAACAATTAACGGAGAGTTGATGAAACTTTTAATTTTGAATCTAAATCTTAACGGACTTCCCCACAAAGGTATAAAAATGTTTTTACCATAGGAACTATCTTTCGACTACTTTATGACCACGAGAACTAATAATCCACTTAGGCCTACCAGATAAACATCCATCTTTCCATACAGTCCCATGCAGGCAACAAGTATTTCGGTTATAATTTGCGACAGTACCTTCTCGTAAACTAAACCAAATTCTACCCATATATTATCCATCCATTGCACCAAAAACAGCTAAAATTCAACTTAAATGATCTCCGCACTCGCTTTTTTTCTCTCTTTTTTCCTAGTCGTTGAATTGAGTAAATCAAACGAGAATTGAACCATAAAACAAAGGAAAAAGTGCATAACCTACATTTCATCAAGATTCAATCCAAAATTTTCACTCCATTAGGGTTTTGGGTGAGACCATAAAATATCATATTCTAAACAAAAACCAAAGACAATCAATCAGATTCGAATTACCATAGAGATTAACTCGGTTAATAAGAATTACCTTAGAGATTAACCATGCTTTTTCCATGCGATTAGCGAAATTAGATGAACCTTCGTACGAATCCACAGCTGAAGCTCGCACGCCGCAAACCCTTCGGAGGGCCCTCGTGCTTGTACCGTAAGGTACAACAGCCCCGGCACGATTTAGAGCTTCCGATGACGATAGAAAACCGTCGTTTGGAATCGGTCTGGCCACAATCGACGGCCTGCAGGACACAGAGCTCGCCATTTTACTCGTCTTCTTCTTCAAAAGTTCGGGAATCTAGAGAGAGAGAATTTTGATTTTGTTTTTGTTTTTGTTTACGTGGAGGTGTTTTTAATCGTTTTCTTGTGGACCAAAACCAACCAAAATTTTCCCTCCTTTTTTTGATGAAAACAAGGTGTCCAGCCCACTTTCTTGAATTGGTCTGTGGACTTTGAACCCGGATTTAAAATGGGTCGTAATCAAATTTACGATTTCGAGCTAGATTTGATTACGGCACATGTATTTACTTAATATATAAATTATTTAACAATATATATTCAACAAATATATGTATCGTAGTCAGTCTTATGTATATTTTTTTTCTTTTTTCAAATCGTGCTGCGATTATTTGTTTTCAGTATCAAATATTATCGATATATTAATTAATGTGTTTTTATTGTTTATATCGGAGATAATTGTACTGTGAAACTGTCATAATCTTAACTCATTAACATGTTATCTTTTCAATTGTTATATCAATAGTTTCTTTATTAATCTCAATCTTCTTCTTTCTGATAGTAATTATATTAATTATCTAACTACAAAGTGATTAAGAGCTATTGCGTCGAATATCATTTGTATGCAGGGATCAATAACACTTGTATGAAAGGAATGAGGGTTTTCTTGAATAAATATTTAAACTTGGATTATATTTTTCCATTTTTTTTCTTGTGGCTTCAAAGTTGTTGCTAGCCAATAAACAAAACAAATTAATTATGTGTGTATCTGCAAACACAATAATATGTTTTACTTATTTTCTGTGCCGTTTTTTGGGAACTATTTCATGCGTACGTTGAGAAGGAACATGATTCGCGTTCCCTTGTCTAATCAAACAAAATTATCAATATAATGTGGAATCAAACCTTACGAATTGTGTTGTTGGCCTAATTTAAAACTTTAGACGACACATATTGGTATCTCTCTCTTTGTGATGTCATTGACATTGAAGATTAAGATGGAGAAGTACCAAGAAAATGCTTATAATGTGCATCCTGTGTAAGAGGATATGCTAAAAGTCCTTAAATGCTATGTGTGTGTATATATATGGATGGATATGTGACACCATTTGTCTACACAATTTTTAATGCACGTCTTTTGTTGGACCCGTTTTGTAATGTATTTCAACTATCAGAACGGTTTATCTTTTCGGTATTTTCTAAAAAATTATGTCTACCAATTCTGAAACCATACAACTGTTGGATTAGTAAGGATTGATGGTTTCCTTGTAGAGCCGTATTCGTCCATTTCTTCACTAGTAATGAATGTTTTTATGGTTTTGGATTTGTCTAATTTTACAAGGATGATGTATGAATGATGTTCTAAAATATAGACGATTCAAATCATTAAAATATTTTACAAAGTAGGCTCAACATAAATATGCGTCAAAAGTTGTGTAAAACAAGTCATCCCACCTACTAAAATTACAAAGACCACATCCTTTGTAAAGCTAATTGATATTTAGGATGCAAATGGTGGTAAGCAATTTTCAAGACTTTGACATCAATGTAGTTTCATTGTCATAGCAAGAGATAAGTCTAACCTACTGTGTCTACTTTCCTCCTTGGCTCCAACCTCCCTTTTATTTATTTCCTTTCTTTTGTGCGTATGCGTGTTTGATTGAATATTCCAAACCAGCGGTCCGAACATAAGGCAATCCAGGCAAAACTCATAATTTAGTAACCTAAAGTTTCACAACACCCATGACGCCAATGAATCCTGTGTCAATATTGCAAAAAGCACCAAGTCAATTTACTTTTTCTTTCTGGTAATACCAGGGAGATCAAATTTCTAAACTAAATCTTTGTAAACCAAATGATGTAGATGTTGATGATTTGATTATTACTTAAGTGTTGATTAATGTGCTTATTTTCTATTGATGACACATCATTTAGTTTGCAAATTTGATTTAAAATTTTAATCTTCCCAACATTATCCTTTTTTTCGTTCCTAGCTCCTTGGTCTCACACAGTACATTATGCTTGAGGTAAGAATTAGAGGGTTTAGAACACGTTGCAGACAAGTTTTTCCTTCAAATGATGATCCGATCCGATGCATTATCATTCAAACAAATGTGAGAGGTAAAAAGATAGTACAAATAACAAGGTCTAGGGTTTTCACAATTTTTTTTATAGGAAGTCGCTTTTGCACATCTTTTTTCTCCGCAATATTTTTTCGGTTTTTCGTTTTTTTTTTTTTTTTTTTTTGTCAAATGATAGATTTTATTAGATTAAATGTTAGATTAGTCATCGAAGGAGTTTGAACTCACGCCGTCATGTAAAAACTTGACTCATTTCCACCACTGTAGTAAAAGCCGCTTGCCAATTTTTCGTATTTGGATTGAATAGTAAATGAGAAAAGAGTGCGAAAATTATAATACAAATAATATGTATGAAATGGTTAAACTATCCCCATAATTAACGACATTCACCCAATAGGCCAATAGTAGTATGAAAAGTCCCCTACACCCCAAACCCAAAGTCACCATTATAAAGATCCTACTCTTTTAAACCCTACTCTCTCCATCCATATCACACACGCTCCCCTCTCTCCCAAACTCCCAACAAAGCAAAGCCCATGAATTACATTACTTATCTTTACTAATCTCTCTCTCTCTCTCTCTCTCTCTCTCTCTCTCTCTCTCTCTCTCTAAAAATGGAAAGACATCATCACTCACAACAAAGCAACAGCAACCTCTGCTCGCCAACATCGCCACCCACGACCTTTGTTCAGGCAGACACAAACAACTTCAGAGACCTCGTCCAGAAGCTGACAGGCTTATCCGGGGACTCGGAAAAACTCCCCATCACACACCCAGCAAGGCACTACCCTAAAGCACCCACAAGTCCCGGTGACCCCACCGGCCCTCGCCGGTCACCGTTCAAGCTGCAAGAGCGAAGACACACCATGAGAAAACTCGAGATTAAGCTTAGTCTCGCAACCCTACACGGCTCTCAGCCGTTTCCGAGTCCCGTCACCCCACTCGGGTTCGAGTCGTTTTCATTCCCGAGTTCTGGTTCCGAGTCGCCGTCGTCTCCAGCAGCGGTGGCCGAGGAGGAGAAGGCAATTGCGGAGAAGGGGTTTTATTTGCACCCTTCGCCGCTCAATACTCCCAGAGGGGCCGAGCCGCCCGAGTTGCTACCCCTGTTTCCGCTGAGTTCACCCAGTAATAGTGATCACAAGTCTCTGCAGTCACCCTAAATATTAAATAATTAAGCTTACATATCAAAATTCTGTTGACCAAAATATATATGTATTTCCTTCCGCCGCTTGATTTTTTGGGAATTTTGTAAATACCAATATATTATCATATATGTGTGTGAGACTTTTCTGTTCGTCGTGCATGCGAGGTTGAATGAAGTTTTTGGCTTTGAATCATTTTTTGTTTAATATATAGACGAGCTGTGACTATCAACTGAAATTATGACAAATTATATATCGATTTTATTTACTAAGTCATCAGTTATTATTAGGAAATAATTTATGTTAGTCATTTTTTTTCCCACACATATTAATTTTTGTTCTTTGATTCTACTTTATTTTTTCACTCGTTACTAATCTACTACAAGACCGGTGCAACGAAATATGCTACTCGGTAAATATTATAAACTGATCAATCACATAATCTGTAAAAAAATTGCAATGATGCAGACCCATTTTATTTTTATAATAGTTTATAAAAACGAATTTTATTTTTATAATATTTTATAAAAACGAAATCCAACCCTAATCATTGCCACTTAACTAAGCAAAACTTCGAGCTTTAGTAGTCATAGCCGTCCGATGCCTGGGAACGGGATACTCAACGGTGGTGATCATTTCCCGCCGGGGGCTAGTTTGGTAGATTTACGGTATGAAACCGACCAATGCATGGTTTCTTCAGTTCACATGAACACGTCTCTTTTGGTGTACTTATGGACCGCGATTAAGACCAACACCGCTCAATCATTGTTTCTGGTTGCTTTAATTTTGCTAGAATTTCGTTTTATGAAAAGTAGAAGTAAATTGACCAATAAAAAAGTAGAAGTAAATGAAAGTTGAGTTGAAAAAAATGCTCAAGACAGGCACATAATTATTACTTAAATCGTGGAGCAAAACAGAATTTCGTGACAGTTTTTAACACAAGCATATTAAACTATAAGAATAATTGATCTATATATACACACACACATACGAGATTATACATTAAATTCATTTAAAATATTGAGAAAAAAAATTCAAACTTAAGTTCAGAGTAAAAACTATTGCTCTAACCAACTTATCTAAGTTTATATCAACTACAATTTACACGTTTAATCTACAACTTTTCGGAGGTTTTTGTCAAATTAAACGCGGTATTAGACTAGAATAAGTAGTAGTGATATTGATATTGAATTTTGTCAAGGTCTAAAATGATTGGGAGATTTCACACTCTTGTCTGCTCAGTGCTTCTTCTTACCTATTTCTCTATCTCACATAATCTTTCATGCTTGTACGTTTGCCATTTTGATTGGGTTTTTGACAGTTTCTGTTTCCTTTCACATGCATTTTTCTAAGAGAACTTTCTTGTTGATGATTAGATTCTCTCTCACAAATCATAAACCAAGTGGTCAATGAATCATTGTCCTCTTTCTTTTCTCATGAAATTAGGTCGTTTCTTTTGCTCAATTGTCAATGAATTCATAATAAGCCTGTCTAACTTTCTACAAATCCTCATATGATTAGCAAAAGTAATGTAAGGTAGATCAACTTTTTAGACCATATTAACATAGGGTCCTTTTGACCTCGATAGGCCTAAAGGAACACAAATCCAAAGGAAAGTCAAGGCCCAATGAGCAAGAAAATGTGAAGCCAAGCACTTCAAGGAACCCATTGCCTCTGAGTGTCTTGTTAGCAATCAAGCCAAACACTTCTCCATAAAGTGCTTTTCGAGCACTAGATGGTAAGGTGGCTTCTGACAACTTTTAGAAATTGGGTCCTAGGAGCAGAAGGGGCAGGCCTACTCAGCCATCAACTCTAAACCATGTGGCGGCTATACGAGGTAACAAAGGCTTACGAATGGACGTAAAGGCTAACAAGTAGGGTGCTCAGGTACGAACTCCCACGAACCCCAAGGCTGAGCAAGGCGCTTATCAGCATCATCCCAAGAAAGAACACAAGTGTACTTCCGCGAATGTTGCCTCATTGCCATGTGTCGGCCAAAGAGATAAGAGACAGTTAGCAGGTCTAATATGTGCATTTCAATGCATTAAATGCAAAGGAAGTGATAGGTTCGAGCAAAAGGATTGAAGACTCAAAAAATGGCCTATATAAGGAACACTACAAGAAAATATGGCTTAGGTGGCGACAAACATTCATCACATAAACATGAAAAATCATCACATTTGATTATATGTGACGAAAATCCAGCGTCATTGTGTTCGTCACCTATATAGCGTCACCTATAGTCCATGTGACGAATTTTACATTCGCCACATATTTTTAGTATTTGTGATGCCAAATTCGTCACTTAATAACTTTAACTATGACAAAATAAGCGTCACAAAATACAAAAGTCAGTGACCTATAAGTTCGTTACATAACAAATGTATAAGTGAGGAATTTATCGTCACCCAATTTGATCCTAGAATGCTATGGCTGAGGATAAGTGAGACTGAAAGCGTCACATATTCCTTTGACATGTGGCGCAATTTGTGTCACATCACTACCACAAAAGGGTCTTATAGTGTCAGTTGTTGCGTCGGTTTAATATAATATAGTGGCGCACAAGAGAGTTGCGACACCCACTAAATATAACGTCGGATTTACAAAGCCTGCGTCGCTTTTAAACTGACGTAAACATTTAATGTCGCTTATAACCGACACACATTTTAATAATTTTAAATACCGGCGTCGCTTTAAATAAAACAATGTCGCTTTTAAGCGACATAAAGTATGGGTGTCGCATATAGAAGCGACAATAATTGTTGTTTTTATATATTTTAAATCCTGCGTCGATTCTGAGCGACATATATTTTATTTTTTTTAATATTTTGAAACCCGGTGTCGGTTATAAGCGACAGAATGATGGTCTTTATATACCCTCCCCGTGTTTTCTTCTTCTTCTCTTGCATTTATCTCATTCTCAAGATTTACAAAGCCTTCTGGTTCTCTCTTTCACCATTATTATTTCTTCTTCTCTTTCACCTTCCCGAGTTCTTGCAAGTTCATTCTTCACAATGGTAAGTTTTTCTTACTTGTAATATTTTTATTTTCTCCTCTTATGTTTAATTTTTAGATACAATTTATTTTTGTAGGGAATTTATTTGAGCTAGTTGAGTACATAAAGAATTGATCGACGACGGAATTCTTCTATAATTCAGGTTTCTATCACTAAATTCTTTAATTTTTAAATTGTATAATACACAAGTTTATTTATTTAAAAATTGTAATTTACGTAGTTAGATAAATTTCTACTATAATGTCAGAGGATACGGTCATGGGGTGACTCCTGATATGGTGTCCTATGCGTCTTCTTCATCTTCTACATCAATTTCCTCCAAGAGGTCATCTAACAATGCAATGGCATTGCTGATGACTCAAAATAATGAGTTGAAATTGAGGGACGAAAATAACAATAAACGGATTTCGGACCTACAGAACAAGCAAAATCAGATGTTTGCGTGGCTTTTCCAAAGATTTCAGCCACAACCACAACCATAACCACCGTATAGCCCGGGAACCCAACAGTCAGGCCAGAGTCAGCCTCCTCTTCCTCAACAGTCGGGTCAAAGTCAACCACACCCTGCATATCCGTATGCTGGCCATAATCAGCAACCTCCGTATCCTATGTATCTGATGCCTATGCAGCCCACGACATACATGCAGCAGCCTCCCATGCCTTACATGCAGCAGCCTCCCTATCAAGTGCCAGTATATCGACCCGAGATGGCTGCTCCTTATCCTAAATTTCCAGCTGGGGGGTTTGCTGAAATGCTTGCGGGTGTTGGATCTGATGTGGACTTGTTGATGATGTTGGCATCAGATATAGGACCTCAAGGACGAGAAGGATCTGTGCCACATTCAGGTGCATATTCGGTTCAGTAGTTTATTTGGTTCGCTTTCTTGTCGGCTAAATATGACACTTTAATCGTTCTATCTTTTTTGTTTTTTTTATGTTATGTTTGTAATGTCGGATTTAGTAGTTGTTATGACGGATGCATTTTTGTATATTAAGTGGAACGTTAGATTTACAATATTTGTGTATTTTGGCACTATTTTTCTTGTTAATTATTTTCATTAATGTTTATTTTGGCCTTGGAATTTATTATTATAATTATATAAAAAAAAATTTGTTACAATTAATTGAAGACGAATGCAGTTTGTCAGTTTTTTTTATTATTATTAACAAATGTGGTGTCAATTAAGACCGTTATTAGTTTGCATATTTTATTTATTTAATTGTTATTTGACGTCGGTTTATGGGATATTAAATTGATTTAATTTTATTTCGGTGTCGTTTAAAAGCGACAGTAGGATGGATATTTTACAATTAAATTCCAAATGAACGTCGCCTTTAAGCGACGTAACGTGTACGTAAACGTCGGTTTAAAGCGACGTAACGTGTACGTATACGTCGCTTTAAACTGACGTGAATTTTAGTGTCGCTTTAAAGCAACACTGTTTAGTGGCGGTTTAAGCCAAGAAACTGACGCTAAAGCCCTTTCGTGACGCTAACAATAGTGTCGCTTTGAAAATGTGACATTACATTGTTTTATGTTGGATTTTTGCCAAATTTTAGACAGAAATCGAATTTCTCGTCGGTTTTTGCTCCGACGATGATAGCATATATTGTAGTAGTGCATGTGTCAAAATCATAAACCTATTAGGAACAATTCGTGACAAACCAATTACCACATATTCCCTGCTTCGTCATCTAGAATTAGAATTCATAACAAATATGAGGCAATACTTTAGTTAATCACATTTCATTGATCAATAAGTTAGATTACATCAAATGCATACACCAAGTGTCTCAAAAGCTAACATAAGCATCCTAACACCTATAAACATATTGAGATGCTAACAAGATTCTAAGTCATTGAGTCGGTAACAAAACAGGTATACCGTGTGCATATTTGAAACCAACAACAAAATACATAATATAAGTCATCGGCCATGTCATGGTCTTTAGTTCAGCACAGGTATCATTGTCATTTGAAAGATCACCATCACTACCTCAAGTGCTTCTTGAATACTTTCTCCTTAAACTCCATCCTTCTTTTTCTTCATCTTATCCTTACATAATAAAAGAGAAGAAAATAAACATTGGTGTCTAGAGAATAGCAGGTGCATTGAGAATTTGAATAACAAAAGAGAAGAAAATAAGAATTGAAGGAATAATTAACAGTAAGAAGAAC